TGGATTGCCTGAGCCCACAGGTTCGAGACCCGCCTGGGCGGTTGGCGAAACCTCATCTTTACAATAAATCAAAAAAAATTAGCCAGGCGTGGTACTGCACATGCCTGTAGTTTCAGCTACTCGGAAGGCTGAGGCGGAAGGATCGCCAGAGCCCAGCAGGTCGAGGTTGCAGTGAGTGGCCAGGAGCGGCCACTGCACTCCAGTCTGGGTAACAGAGTGAGACTCCAATTCAAAACAACAACAACAACAAAACTGAATGCAGTGATCACATTGTCTGCTCCTACTCACCTTGCTTATTTCTCTCTTGATTTTTAGCTTCCCAGTATATTTCTGAACCCAATGTTTTTATTATTAGTCACTGCTGCCAGCATTAGGCTTTCCTTACTTTAAGCATGTTACCTCTCCTTCACATAAACCATGGAGTAAATGTTCAAGAGAAAGGAGCCCAAAAAAGAATAACGGCTTCTCCTTGCTCCCTAGTGAAGTGTGACATTCTGCTCTCAAGCTCTTAGTTCATCAAAAGCAATCTCTCCCTCATTGGTTTCCTCCATTTCCTATGACATGACTGGAAGTGCTTAGTTGTTTATTACCACAACTGTACAACTTGTGGGTTAGAAGGGGCATTCCAGAATCATCCAGTCTTGCCCAACCCTCTCTTTTACAAATAAGGAACAAAACAATCAGGAAAATGTTAATTATATATCACAGGCAATATGGCTAGTAAATGGCATATCTGGGAACAGAAATAAGGAATTCTAAATGCAAATATATGGAAAGATCCACTATGCAATTTTTGTTTTCAAGGGTATTTTGGCTACCACACAAGAAGCACATATCCTGTTACCTCTACTTTTTAAGTCTGTTCAAGGGGTAGGCAGATGGACAACCTGTCTCTACTATGAAAAGCTGCCTGGCAAAACAAATAAAAACTTTGGGGTGCTGCAGCGATTGAAGAAACGAGTATTTTGGTTGCAAATCTCAAATCTTGACTCTCATTCTACAAATGTATTTAAGATTAACTATCAACTTCCTAAAACTCAGTACAGAGAATGATAATTTGTCACTGTACTATATACGTTGAATCACTGTATCAATGTTATTCTTTTCACATACCTTTAATACCATTTCTGGTTGATTTATGGTCGACATCACTTATGACCAAATCTCGATATGAAATCCACTATATTATTAATAAATAATAACCATCATCTGTCTCCTCACCAAAAAGTAAGATCTGTGAGAGTATTAGTTTTTCATGCTATGATTTTTGCCTGGCTTACAATAAAAAATGTGTTGATAAATGAAAAAATAAACTAATAGTTCTTTAAAAGGAAAACTAACCCAGAAAATGCAAAGATCTGATATTTTAATAACTCCCCAAAAACTAAACAGAAAAGACATAATTTAGTGGAAGTCACTAAACCTCCAAGGCTAACTGAAGAAACAGCTGCGTTCCCATACTACAATTACTGCGACATTCTTTTTCAACAAAGTACTTACTCCTTTTCTGTTATGGCCTTTTCCCTAGAAACCCTTGTCAGGTTTATCTTTGTTTCCTTAGGCTCCATGTGCATAACAGACTTTTATAATAATTCCTCTGTTCATTTTTCTAAAAAACACCAAGCAAATGTTCAAGGAGATCAAATCAAGTTCACTATGGTAAGATCATAAAAAGGATACCAGCAGATACACAGATTAAGCTCTTCCAAATTAATATTAGTATTACTTCATGATCTGAACTGAGTAACAGTTCAAGAATTCACTTTTTATTTTCCTCTTCGTATCATGCTGTTCTCAGAATTCATTTCAAAATATCAAATCTCACATTCACCAAAACAGCAATTTCTAGCAATCCTCCAATGACTAAATAAAAAAATTATTAGTCGTGCTTTTATTAAAGGTTATCTTTATACGAATCCTCTATAATCTAAGTAAAAAGTAGTAAAAAGATACTATGTTAATCAAAGGTCAAAGACGAAAGAATTTGCTCACCTAACCTTTTCCCCGTTTTAAATATATTTACAATTTATTTAATTCACTTCAAATGTCTGTGATAAATACATCCTGAAATTATTTTCCTCACCAAGTCAAAACTTTCATTATTTGATCTATCATCAATCATTTAGCTTCTATTTTATAAACAACATAATGTAGCAGCTTGTGTAAATCTACCAAGTTCCCTCCATAGTTTTCCTTTAAATTCACAAAAACGAAAAATCTAATTCAAAAACTTCGGGGGAAAAAAAAGAAATAGATTAACTTACTGAAAATATCTTTAAAGACGTTTAACCAATCCATTTTGAATACAAATTCCGTGTTTTCTTTTGCCAGTATGTTAACACAGCTCAGGATAATGCTGAGTGAATTTCCTGGTCTGTGCTGCAACACTGAAACTTCCCACACCCAGTCCATGTGATCTGGGCCACACCCAGGCAGTAGAAAGTTTTTCAGAGGCTTTTTCTCTTTCCAAAACTTTTCCCCACTAAACTATAACAGAACTTGTAAAACGAGTAAATCATGATGGCCAAAAATGTGAGCTCTTAAGACTTACTTTGGAAGCAGTTTTAAAGAACATACATTTTGTAGTAGTTAAAAATATATTCATACATCCATCCTTTCTTTTCTCTTTTAACTTGTTAACTTTCAAACAATGTCTCCAACAGCATAATCATGGTGAAACAAATCCATTCATTACCTGAGACATTTAAGTTACCAAAAAGGGGGGCAGAAGGTCTGAGAAAAATGAAAAGGGTTGTCTGATGCAAAAGCTGGATTTACATTATTATACAGGCTAACTACAGACTGCTAACGTAAAACAACGTTTCTAAGAGCCCTGGCATATAGGTAGCAAGAACTGTAACATAGTAATAAAGTTAACAGAGATTTCTGGCAACCCCCTCGGGTCCTCTACCACTGTGGGAGCTTTTCTGTTCTCTCAATGAATCCTGTTTTCTAAATTAAAAAAAAAATGTTAACAAAGATTTCCTAAGACTTACATAGAGATAAAACCTTAAGAAAATTGTCTCAATAAAATCAGAATATAGTATGGAGGGTTTCCTAGGAGAATTAACAAATAATAAAAATAATTATTATAACTATCTATACAATAATATCTAAAATTGGGATTTTTTTCCCTCTTGGCTTTATGATATTAGTTTACTCACTATCTTTCATTAATTGCTGCCAAATTTCGTTTTAAAAAACAACAACAAAAAAGTCTGTCTAGGTATGCCCTAGCTCTCGCTTCGTCACTAGGAGGCATTCGTCACTAGGAGGCAAACTTTCTTAAGCAAAACGATCTTAATTTCCCCCAATAACTCTAATCAGCATTCCTTAAATAAATGTCCAGTACTTACAAAACCAGATGCATTTCTGATTCTAACTCTGGTCTCTTCAGCTACTCAAGGAAAATCTCTCTCTGGTTTGTTTTCCATTTCAAAATGAAAAAGAATGGTCTTACTTGTAAAACTTTAAAATCTGAAAAAAGTCACTTTAGTAGTTATATGTCACTGTGACTACATGTATTAAATTACCTTTAGAACACTGAAGATATTTTTGGGTCAGAAAGTAATCATCTATCACTTTATATATCTTACTTTGAATTGAATCTTACATTTTAGTTTTTGCTGTTTTCTATTGCTGATAATTTTTTAAAATTCTAGTCTAAAATAACAGTAATGTGGAAAAGAAACATTATTCAAGAAATAAAAACTAAGCTGCACATGGCTATAGTCCCAGCAATCAGCCAGCGGGAAGACTGCTTGAGCCCAGGAGTTCAAGACCAGCCTAGGCGACACAGCAAAATCCCCTCTCTAAAAAAACTATGACCAAGAAGGAAAACCAGGCCAGGCACAGTGGCTCAGGCCTGTAATCCCAGCCCTTTGGGAGATGGAGGCAAGAGGGTGACTTGAGTCCAGGAATTCAAGATCAGCCTGGGCAGCACAGTGAGACCTCAACTCTACAAATTAAAAAAAAAAGCCAGGCACAGTGGTGCATGCCTGTAGACCCAACTACTTGGGAGGCTGAGGGGAAGGGATCACAGGATCCTAGGAGGCTGAGGCTGAGGCAGCTGTCATCAGACCACTGCATTCAGCCTGAGAGACAGAGTAAGACTCTGACTTGAAAAAAATAAAGAAAAACGAATATAGAGCAGTATGTCACTATTTTATACTTGACAATCAGGCTATATACTTCCCAAACTGTCTTTGCAAGGAGAAACTTTACTTTTCTTCTACATATAGACAAAGAACCATTAGACAAACAGCTTATTTGTCTGAACAACAAAATTGAAATTCTGTCCCTCCCAATTCCTTCCTGTCAGCTAAGGAGAGTCTAATTAAAAAAAAAAAAAAAAGAAGAAGAGGCCAGTCCTCATCAGTGCATATTTCCTCTCAGTGTGAAGCTCAGGCCCTACTGGAGGGCCTGTAAAAATAAAAATAAAAAACTTTATAGTAAGAGAAAGAAAGAAACAAAGAAGGGGGGAAAAAAAAGAGAAGCAAAATAAAAAAGAAATCAGTTCTGTAGGTGCTAATGTACAACAATGATTTACGGTTTAAAACTTATCAAACAGAAGAACAAACTAAGGGATTGTTTTTAAAGTGAAGTTAAATTGTAAGCCATAAGATGTTAAAATTCAGCAATGTGCTATGTAAAATAAGTCACCTTGATGACAAGGAATAATTCTGTATGTAAGACAAACTCCAACAGGCACTTCATGGTTCAAGGAACCCCTATCAGAAGGTCAGAGTTAGTTCTACTCATCAGCACCATTCTGGCTTGACCTCTGATGTGGGCTTAGATGTACAGAAATAGCTTGGCAACACAAACTTCACTGGTCTCTAGGCTCAAACCCCTGCTGTAAATCATACTTACCTCGCCTAGCTGAAATGCCAAGCCTTCAAGTCACTTCTGTACACTGCTGCCAAAATTCTCTACAAAGAACTAAGCTCCAGAATCCATTTTTTAAAAGGTGCTTTTCCTTTTAACACAAAACATCTTACCTAAGGTATCCTTCAGATTTTTTACAATAGAAGCTTTCCGAGCACTGTTTTTCCTTTCCACATAGTTAGAAGGCACAAAACCTGTTTTATTCAGAGAGTTTCGAACTCGCCACCAGGACTTGGAATCATCCAGAAGCCATAATCTCTCATTCTTCTTGATGTCCAATTCTTGTTCTTGTTGGGCCACATAATCAAATTTGGCGACCACCACAACTTCTTCTGCCATCTTTCTGCAGTTTCACCACTGTAAACACATACAAAATATTTTTAAGGTTGAAGTAGTGGTTTATACGCTTTTCAGAAAGAAACATACCTAAAAAAATCTAAGGGCACTAAAAGATTGAAAGTAAAAATATGGAAAAAATACAAGACAAATATTAATTTAAAGAAATTAGCGCTGTTATATTAATACCACACAAAATAACTCAGGGCAAAAACCATTACTAACAATAAAGTTTACTATATGATTACAAAGGCTCTACTCAATATATTCAAGATCTAAATTTATATGCACCTATAACATAGCTCCAAAATAAATGAACCACAAGGAGAAACTGATGAATCCGTGACCACAGAGGACAACTTTTAACACATTTATCTCAGTAATAAAACAATCAAAGAGACAAAAACATTATCAAGGACAGAAAATTGATATAAAACTAGTAAGTTTATTTTATAGACATATAAAGAATATAATTTCCAACAAAATAATACAAATGGAACATGCAAAAACCAATCAAATGCAAGGCCATAAAGATTGTTTCTAGAATTCATATAACTGATATCCTACTATACTCTCTGACAACTATAATAAAAAGACAGCTTTTTAAAAAAATGCATGTTTAGGTTGCGTGTGGTGGCTCACCCTTGTAATCCCAGCACTTTGGGATGCAGAAGTGATAGGATGGCCTGAGCCCAGGGGCTCGAGATCAGTATGGGCAACTTAGCTAGATCTCGTCTCTACAACAAATACAAAAATTAGTCTAGTATGGTGGCACACGCCTATAGCTCCAGCTACTTGGAAGGCCGAGGCAGAAGGATTGCCTAAACCCAACAGGTCGAGGCTACAGTAGCTGTGAGCACGTCTCTGTCCTCCAGCCTGTGCAAGAGTGAGACTTCAACTCAAAAAACAAAAAAACAAAACAACAAAAAAAAAACCCATATGGTTTAGAAACTTCTAAAAATTCATGAGTCTGAGCAGTTAGAAAAATAGAACAAACAGCAGAAAAACAAATCCAATCAGAAAATGAGCAAAAGACAGGTGTTCACTGTGAAGATGGTAAATAAGCACATGAAAAGGTATTCATCACCATTAGCTATTAAGGAAATGCAAATTAAAATCACATTTAGATGTCATTACATACACCTATCAGAATGGTTAAAATAAATAAGTGATAATATCAAATGCTGACAAGGGTAAGCTGAAAGTGGATCATTCATATATTGTTAATGAGAAGGTAAAATGCTATGAATACTCTGCACAATCGTTTACAGTTTACAAGAAACTACCATACTACCCAGCAACTGCATTCCTGGGTATTTATTCCAGAGAAATGAAAACTTAACAAAGACTAAAACTTTTACAGGAATGTTTACAGCAACTTTAGGTCTAAGTCAAAAACTGGAAACCACGATGTGCTTTAACGGGCAAATGGTGAAACAAACTGTGGTATATCCATACCAAAAAGGAATAAAAGACTGATACACAAACGGCCTAAATGAATCCCCATCTGGAAAACAGTCAATCCCCAAGGTGATATATTAAACAACTGTATTTACACAACTTCCTTGAAATGACAAAATACAGAAATGATAAACAGATTAAGGGTTGCCAGGGGCTAAATGGGCAGTGGGAACAGGAGGGAAGTGGGTCTGGCCAACAAAGGGCAATACAAGGAATTCTTGTAGTAATGATAAGGCTCTATTTCTTGACTACAGCAATACTAATATTCTGATTATGATACTGTATCGTACGATACTGTATTGTACTAGATGTTACCAATGGGGGAAACTGGGCCTCTCAGTAAGTGCTAAGATTTCTTACAATTGAATGCAGATCTATGATGATCTCTAAATAAAGTTTATTTAAAATAAGACCAATGAAAGACTTACAGATAAAAATGAAATAAAACAAGAATATTTTCTTTTTTTTGAGTTGGAGTCTGTCGCCCAGGCTGGAGTGCAGTGGCATGCTCATGGCCACCCCAGCATCGACCTGCTGGGCTCCAGGAATCCTTTCACTTCAGTCTTCCAAGTAGCCAGAACTACAGGTGCCTGCTACCACACCCAGCTAATTTTTTTTTTTTTTTAATTGTAGAGATGAGGTCTCACCAAGTTGCCTGGGCTTGTCTCAAATCTGCGGACTCAGGCAATCCAGTTGCCTCAGCCTCCCAGAGTGCTGAGATTACAGGTTGAGTCACTGAGCCCAGTCATATTTTCATACTTGATACAAGGAATCCTTTATTACCATGTTTCCAGTGTTAGAAACTATAAAATGAAAAAACTTTTAATTTCTGTAAGCAAACGACATTAGTACCTATTGCTGCTTTAACAAGTTACCATAAACTCGGCAACTTAAAAGAACACAAATTTATTATGTTACAGTTCTGGAGGTCAGAAGTGCAAAGTGGGTCTTATGGGCTAAAGTTGAGGTGTCAGCAGAGCTGTACTCCTTTCTAGAGGAAGTATGGAGAATCCATTCCTTGCCTTTTCCAACTTCCAGAAGCCTACTCTTTGGCTCATGGCTGCATCGCGCTTTCACTCTGACCTTTAGTTTGGTCATCACATCGCCTTTCCTCACTTTGACCCTTCTGCCTCCCTCCTGTAAGGACCCTTATAATCACATTAGACCCATAAAGATAATCCTGGATAATCTCCCCATCTAAACAAGTCCTTAATTTAATCACACCTGCATAGTCCCTTTAACTATGTCAGGTAATACATTCATAGGTTCTGGGAACCAGGACATGTACATCTTTGGGAAGTTATTACTGTGCTTACTGTACAGTAATAATACTGTACTTACTGATTACAGTAATAATACTGTACTTACTGACGTCAAAAACATAGTTAAAAGACTAGCAAACAGCCAGGTTCGGTGGCTCAGCCTGTAATCCTGCGCCTTTGGGAGGCTGAGGTGAGTGGATTGCCTGAGCTTGCGGGTTCGAGGCCCACCTGGGCAGCGAGACCTCATCTCTACAATAAATCAAAAAATCAGCCGGCGTGGTAGCGCGCGCCTGTAGTTCCGGCTGCTCAGAAGGCTGAGGCGGAAGGATCGCCGGAGCCCAGCAGGTCGAGGCTGCGGTGGCCGGGAGCGGCCACTGCACTCCAGTCTGGGCAACCAAGTGAGACTCCAACTCAAAAAAAAAAAAAAATAGACTAGCAAACTTGGCTGGACACAGAGGCTCACTTCTGTAATTCCTGCACTTTGGGTGGCCAAGGAGGAAGGATCACTTGAGCCCAGGAATTCAAGTCTGCAGTAAGCTACAACTGTGCCACTGTGCTCTGGCATGGGTGACAGGGTGAGACCCTGTCTCTAAGAATAAATTTGTAAACTTTATTTACCAATAAAGTCGGGCATATGTTCAAGTGTTTAATCCCGCCATACGATTAATGCTCATAAAAAAGATGAGAAAAGATAAAAATCTTAAAAACTGACAAAGGACAAAGAATAATTATGGAAGAGAAAACACAGATGGTCAAAAAGTATTCCCAAAGATCCTGAATGCCTATACAATGAAATAAACGAACACTAAAATTGAAATGCCATCCTTTACCTATCAAGGGTGCCAAAATACCACCAATATTATCTAGCGCTCCCCAGAAAGCACAAAAATAGGCATCTTATTTACACTACTGGTATAATAACTAAAATTTCATGTAATGCTCTTAAATTTGATTATGGGAATGTTAACATATACCAAAGTAAAAAATAGTACAATGAACCCCGTACTTATCTCCCAACTTTGTCAATATTATGCCTTTGTGCTTCATCTATCCCCCATGTTCTGGTGGGGGAACTGGAAACCTATGATTTGATGTAACTCAGAACAGATAAAAACCCACACCCTTCAAAAATTAACCAGTCAAGGGTTTCTTTTCGTCACTGACCCTCTTCTCCTTTTGGCAGTGTGGTACAACTTAGAATCCCTACTCAGTTATGTTTTTAAATGCATAAAATACGTAAGAATGCAAGAGAAATCAATTCTATTAAGATTCAGTTATTAGTACATCTTTTAAAACACTTCTTCTGAAAATGTGTTTCTTTATTAAGGTAAAGAATCCAGGCAACGCTTCTTTTATCTAATATTAATGTTCAATTTTTGCTGAGAGTATTTTTAAAAATCTTGCCATGACTGGCTTCTTTGGACTGGAATCCAATCTGAGTCCACACATCGCACTTAGGCGAACAGACTCTCAGGCTCTGCTAACACCCTTCTTTTTCCTCACTCGTTCCATGTCATGCGTTGGCTGCGGACACTGGCTTGATTTGCCCTGAAGCATCTCCCACTTGTGGATTTGGCCAATGTGCATCTTCATGGTGTCCCTCGGTCTCCCCTCTCTCCTATGAACTGGTGGTGATTATTTCCAGAGGCCGTACTTTTTCTTTTTCCAGGTTCTTTTGTTATTGCTGCAAGAATACTTCTTTCTTGTGTACTTTTCACTGCCATATATTAGGAGGTACACTATGTCTGGCTGAACCATTTTCAGTAATGTTAACACTGAATGGTAGATTTAGTAGCATTAAACTGATTTACTCATTATAATAAAAGCTCCTCATCGAGCCTTTACCTAATGGTTTTGTTGGTCACCGACCATCACTGCCTGTATTGATTATATTTACAAGACGGTAACCTGCTAGCTCTACCTGCTTTCAGAAACTGTGATTGCTCTAAAAGGGAGTTTGATTATTCTAATACATAAGTAGGGATTCAAAAAGCCCAGGAATTTATTTATAAAAAAGACGTGTCTATTCTTACATGTTTACACTTCAGTCACCTTCAAAGCACTCTCCATCGGATGCCATGGATCTATCAAGACACTAGTTTCCCTGCTCAACACGCATCAATTTTAGTGCCTTTTAGTGTTTCTGCTGTTTTTTGATTCACCTCTTCCACATCAGCAAAATGCTTCCCCTGAGGACTTTCTTCACTGGCGGAACCAAAAGAAAAAAAATTTTGCTCAGCCAAGACTGGGCGACTCGAGAGGGTGGGGCACAGCAGCCATGCCGTTTTTGGTCAAAAACTACCAGACACTCAGCATGGTGTGGGCAGGTGCACTCGTATATTACCCATCGAGAAATGGGCACACATGCTGAGAGAATCTCCAAAAGAATTCACTGAAGCACAACACAGGCTCTCATAACAACGCTAGTGGGTACACTGATGCTGATAGGTTACTAGAACACTTACCTAGCAGGGGAAGCTGGTACTACAAGAAGCCTGCCCTCCAAAAAATAATTTCGTTTTATTTTTGGGGTCTCCTCTTGTATTAACCTTACAGGAAAAAAGAATACATGCTTCCATGATTATGACACCAACTGGATATACCATTAGGTTCATGTGTTTCTATTTTTTGTAGATTTATTTTCCCTTTTAAAAATGTAATCGGTTCATAATTACGTAAAACATGTAGATGGCTATACAAGTTATCAAGGCTATCAAGTTATCAAGTGACGTACATTCAGAGGTCTGCTTTTATACCTACCTTCTCTATTTCTTTTGGTTTATGTTTCCATTGTTTCTTTGTGAGCAAGTATTTAAGAAAATATATAATTAAAAATTCTAATTTTCATCTCTACCCACAACATGCACATATGCATGCACACATGCACACACACAGAGCGAGGGGCACTTTAGTTTTCTTATCTTTAGTTTAACAATATACCCTGAAGATCATTCCATAGCAGTCTCTAAGACTTCTCTGCTAATATACCTAATACTTCAAACAACTGCAGTGCTCCATCATTATACAAGTATCACGGTTTCTTCAACCAGACCTTATTGATGGAGAACAGGTTGTTTAAACAGTGCTACAATGAACAGCCTTGAACATATGTAATTTTGTTTTTCTACTATATTAGTGTATCTTTGAGTTGGAGTCACTGAAATAAGAATGCTACTGGGTACATGGGCTCACACCTGTAATCCCAGCACTTTGGGAGGTGGGAGGATTGCTTGAGGTCAGGAGTTTGAGACCAGTCTAATCAACCACAAAAACATCAAAAAATTAGCCAAGTGTGGTGGCACCTGCCTGTAGTCCTATACTCAGGAGGCTGAGGCAGAAGGATCATCTGAGTCCAGGAAGTTGAGGCTGTGGTAAGCCAAGACTGTGCCACTGCACTCCAGCCTGGACAACAGAGTGAGATCCCGACTAAAAAACCATCCCAACTTATAACTGAACTTTCCTTTGATGACCATTTATTTAATTAACCACCAGATAAAAGAACTACTCTGAATTTAGAGTCCAGGGAGTAGGAAAAATGACGTATCTTTGAACACAAAAATCAGTGAGATAAGATGCTTGCAAGAGAAATTGAGGCCACAGCAGGAAATAAAGTAAGTGTACCATCTCATGCATACTCTGAAACAGCAAGAACAGAATGCACATTTTAACAGCCATTTCTTTTTTGCTCTTTTAGTCATGCTTAGTACAACTTATACAAATACGAACTGATCACTGTACTTTCATCCAGCCCAGAGCACTCACTGTAAAGGATGTCAATTAATTTTCTGTTTTCCCCTGCCAAAGCTGCAGGTCCATGTTCCCAACTATACTTATACTATTTCCACTCGTGTGCTCTGGAGCCGTGTTTTTGCTTGAAGAACTGAATTCTCATCCTTTTGTCTGTGTGTCTATTATGTGGCACCTGAACCAGAGCATCACCAACCAGTGTCCAACCAATTCCTTCCTGAAATCAAGAGTTGGACTTCCCTTCCAGAGTCTGAACTGCCTCTTTTGATGCCCCACTAACTGCCTGCCTTGCTCTAAAACCAAAATGATGGATTCCAGACCCGGCATCAGTCCTAGGTTACAGAAGTCACACCCTGCTTGCCTCTTCCTTGTAGACTTATTTCCTGCCATCAGTTTGTTTCTCATATTCACCTCCAATCTCATTCCCAAACTGCAGAATAACTGATCCTGGGCTTTTCTGATCCAGTTATCCAAAGAATAGGATCCAAGTGAGAATTAAAGAACTCAATCATTACAATATGCCACTAAGGACAACATGAAATTTACTGTTCTACAGATTTATTTTCTTCCTTTCATTTCTCTCTCTCTCTCTCTCCCCCTTTCCCTTCCTTCCTCCCTTTTTATTTTTTTTGAGTTGGAGTCTCACTCTGTCGCCCAGGCTGGAGTACAGTGGCACACTCAAGGCCAGCCCAGCATCGACTGACCTGTTGGGCTCAGGTGATCCTTCCACCTCAGCCTTCCAAGTAGCCGGAACTATAGGTGTGCACTGCCACACTTGGCTAATTTTTTATTTTATTTTAGTGTAGAGACAAGGTCTTGCCAAGTTGTCCAGGCTGGTCTCGAATCCCTGGGCTCAGGCAATCCTCTCGCCTCAGCCTCCCAAAGGGCTGGGATTACAGGCCACCAAGCCTGTTGATTTTTTTTTTTTTTTGGTGTCAGAGTCTCACTCTCGCCCAGGCTGGAGTGCAGCGGAATGCTCACGGCCACCGCAGCATTGACCTGTTAGGCTCAGGCAATCCTTCCGCCTTAGCCTTCCTACAGTTGTGTGCCACCACGCCCAGTTAATTTTTTATACATTGTAGAGACGAAGTCTCACCAAGTTGCCCAGGTTGGTCTTGAATCCCTGGGCTCAGGCAATCCTCTCGCCTTGGCCTCCCAAGGTGATGGGATTATAGGCTTGAGCCACCACGCCTGGCCTCAGATTTTCTTAAATTATACTACTCTCTCTGATTGGACAGGAATCCATAATCCAGGTACTATCTTAACATTTCTCTCACAATAATCCTATAAAGTATTATCTTTGTATGATTCAGAGGCTATGAAGTTAAATGGCTTTTCAACCTTGGAAAATAACTGGTGGGAATTGGAAGTCAAATATGTACTTTTCACTCTCCCAGAGTTCACTTAATTTCAATTACCATGCTGCCTCTTAAAGAACAGAAAAGGAGTGTACACGAAAACCTACTAAATCAGTGAGTCTCAACTAAAAAAGTCTCAAACTAAAAGCCCCAAAGGGCTCAAAGACACCTTTACACCACTTAAAGATTACTGAGGACCCTACAAAGAGCTTTGGTTGATGTAGGTTATATCCCTCAGTATTTACCATGTTAGAAATTAAAACTGAGAAAACATTAGGCTATTATTAATCAAATTAAAAAGAATATTTACTCTAACATACTTTAACTTATTTTTATGAAAATAATTTTATTTTCCAAAACAAAAACATTAGCAAAAAGAGTGACATTATTTTAATTTTTTTTTGTAAATCTTTTTAATGTTTGACTTAACAGAAAACAAGTAGATTCTCGTATCTGTCTGTGCTTTAATGTGCTGCAATATGTTGTTCTGGGTGGAGTATATGAAGGAAACAGTCCCCCAGATATGTAGGTGGAAAAGGAAGAAGATCTTGAAAGTCTTTCCAGATAGTTGTGTGTATTTTTTTTTTTTGGCACTATACCAAAATTTGACAAGTGGAAGAGCTCCTTAAATATTTGTTTGCAATGTGGAATCTAAAACTATATCAATGAACTTTTTATACAGGGGGGAAAGCTCTGGAAAGCCAGAGAGGATGCGTTAAATCCCTGAAAGGTTTTTTTCTCTTTATTTCTCTCCCAGCACTGTCCCATTGTGCTGCCACAATGGCAGAGAGGGCACATACATTAAGACCCCCAGGGAAAACCTGTCTTTCTGCAGAAAGAAAGCAGAAAAGGAAAACAGGTGGTGCAAAGGGGAGGAAAGTACCCAGTAGTTTTCTCTTTTCTCTCACAACTTCACTCTGAAGATAAATACAGTCATGCCCAGTACTGAGCAACAAGGGAGACTGAAACTCTAAGAGAACCCAATCTTTCGAGCTGGATGAACCAGGAAGTGGGGTCACTGAAGCCAGAGAATATGTAGAAAACTCCCTCCAGAAAGGAATGAAGACAGGAATCTAAAACACAGAAGGTAATCTGAAACAAAGACACTCTCTTTGACCAGACTCTAGTTGAGGTCCCCGGAGTCCTCTTTTCAACAAGGCCTCAGTCTTGCCTATGAACAACGGAGACTCAGCATAAATGATTTTGTCCACCACCTCCCCTGCCCCCCACACAGACTCTAAGAAAGTTGAACAAATCACCAGCTCAGTTTCTAACAGCTCAAGGCCACATTCCTAGGATGGTAACTCCGGTCCCCTTAAGTTCCTTGCCTGAGAAAGTTCCACACTGTCAGGAGAACTTACTGCTTGTTCAAACCAAAACCTAGGGATACTCCCCTGAACACTCTCTTAGAGCATTTACTATAGAAAGCTTGCCATTACAAATCTTTTCTCTGTCTCCTTGTGATATAAATCTTCTACCCTTCAGAACTATCATCTCAAGGACCCGAGAGCCAACGTTTTGAAGTACAAAGAGATAACTCACTTTTGTTCCCAGTCCTGGTAAGAGTGTAAGGACCAAACTCTGGCGGGACTAACTTGCACCACCACCTCTTGCCATGAAGATGAGTTTGCTCCTTCTCCATACATGCACCAACTAACACACTCAGATGGCCTCATCACATGAACCAACCCCCTTAAAACCACTCGGTGCCTTTTCCTTTGTCCACTCAACCTTTCAAAAGAGTTCGCACTGGACTCTTCCCTACTGCAATACTCACTCAATAAAATCTATATTTACCATTTTAACTAGTGTCCAGCCTTGCTTATCTCTGACATCTATAATTCTAGTTATGAACCAGCATTAAGTATAGGGCTCCACAAAATGAGACATACATGGACCACCCAAATGAAGCATTACCAAGGCAATAAGAACTGAGTAGAGGACACTGTCCAAGCCTCAGACCATCCCTGAGTAGTGCATCCAGCAAACAGATACAAACAGCACATCAATGGCTTGGAAAATGAAACTGATATTGAAATGAAACTAACTGAAACTACTGCCCACAAAAAGCAAGTAAAAACTGGTTTGAATCTAACCAAACAGATAGCTGCTAAAGCAACAAGGAAAAAAAAAAAAAAATCAACATCTTCAGAGAATTTTTTAATAGGATCCAAAGTCTCACAGCATAAAATTAAAAGTGTCCAGGATACAACTTAAAATTATTCAACATATTAGGAAGAAAATTTGATCAAGTCTAAAAAAAAAAAAAAGACAACCAAAAGTTGTCAACCAAGAAATAATCTAGGTGTGGAAATTAACAAAAACCTTAAAGGAACTATTATAATCATGCTCCATAAAGTAGTGGTTAAAAAAAAAAGCTCTTGAAGGAAATGGAAAGATAAATCTTGTCTAAGAAAGGGAAGCTACATTAAGTAGAAATATATGTAAAATTTAAAATTAAAAACTACAATATTTAAAATAAAAATGTCACTGGCAAGGCTAAACAACAGAATCAACATGACAGATACATTAATTTTCTATAGCTGCAGTAGCAAATTACCATAAGCTGAGTGGTTTAAAACAACAGAAATTTTCTCTCACAGATTTGAGGGCCTCAATCAAGGACTCGATGTAAAAAGTCAAAATAAAATGGTCAAGTAATCAAGAAGATTAAAAAATCCTAAATGTATATATACTTAATAACAGAGTGCCAAAACACACAAAACAAAAGCTGATAGAATGGAAAGCAGACAAATGCACCATTATTCTTAGAGATTTCAGTACTACTCTCAGCAAAAGAACAGAAAAATAGCAAGGACACAGAAAATCTAAACAGCACCCTCAACCAACTGAATCTGAATTTTATGCACTGTACTCAATTGTAGAGTGCACATCTTTTCACATGCACATGAAATATTCAGAAAGACCATAATCCCGAGCACAAAACAAGCCTTAGTAAATGTGAAAGAACTGATTAGCACACAGCATATGGTCTCTTACCATAACAGAAATAAACTATTAGGTTGGTGCAAAAATAATTGCGGCTTCGAACTGTGAATTTTAAAACACTATAACTAGGTTTCAACACATCTTTATTAACCAAAATAGGAACCATTATAATCAGCACATTTCTGCCAACAAGAAGTTTGTTT